ACACACACACACACACACACATTTCCTCACTCTTCCTCTCATTCTGGTTTTAATATTAATAAATTTGAGGTAAAAAATAAAATTATTTTTAAACACTAACATTTATTTAAGCATGTGCAATAATAATATATGGCACTTATATTAAACCTATTTTTCTGAGAATTGTTATTAACTCAAAATTATTTGACATTTAAAAGTAAAAAATAATAATGAGCTCGTTGTTTGTGCAGAAAATATAATACTAAATTTAAGTAACAAAAAATTTAGTAATTATATTAAGGAAACAACATCATTAAAAGTAAATTATAGTTTAATAAATTATAATTTATATTTATAAAATAATATTAAAATTGTTACCTTAATAATTAAAAACAATGTGTGAAATATTTTCATATATATTAATTTTGTACGGAATTCACTGTAAATATAATTTTATCAAACATTTTGTTACATGTTTGCTCATCACAGTTTACATCACGTTATTTTCGTATTTTGTATCTAGATTAAACTACAATATATATTACAACATTAACACTATGTTTAATTTATTTACTTGTTTAATATCAATTTCATTTTTGTTGTCATATTTGTATATAAAGTTTAATTCAAAATTAATCGTTGAATTAAATGAAGAATTTGATGAATACTACAAAAAATATAACATTAAATATAATAATATTTTTAACATATTATTTATTTTATTACATATAAGTTTTGAAACAATGTTAACAATATATTTTAAACAAAATGTGGCTAGATTATTAAATATACCAACTAAAACGACCATCTATTACAATATTGCCCGCTCGCTTGTCTACGGCTGGCCTATTGTATTGAGTCTAATATATTACGAGTTAAACACAAAATATATAAATATTTTACAACAAATGTCCGCAAGAATTGATACAATTGTTAAAACACCGGAATTTCAATACTATTATGAAGTAAACAAATGTTTGCAAGAATTCAAGAAAAATTCATGGCGTAAAAAATTATGGCTAATTAAATATATGGTTATTTATAATTTTGTCATCTATATGATTTTTCAGTGTATGATTTTGTATTGGCTATTCATTAGCAATGAGTTTCAAAAATTAATTATATTATTAGTACATTTTATATTAATTGATTTATTTGCAATCGTTATTCAAATTAGACTGTATTTTAAATCTAAAATTGAACAAAATGTCATTGATCAAATTACATGTATTGAAAATTGTATTATTAGCAAGATAGATATCCCTGTAAATTTTATATTAATAAAAGTTTAATTTATAATAAAGAATATGACCAAAAGTATTAAAAAAACATTTGCTTTTACATTACGTAATCAATATATAAATTAAATTAAAATGTAAATCTAGATCATAAGATATATTATTTGTTTAAAATAATATTATATTTAATTGTATTTGTTATTGAAAAATGTACTTGGTGTTTACAAGAATTCGAGCAAAATTTGTTGATTAAAAAATTGACTTTAATTAAATGTTTATTTTAATTTTAATTTATTAAATATTTATTTTGTTTACTTTATTTTAAAGTGCTTATTTATTTCCTAGATATAACATAATATCTGTCTACGTAATTTCTATACAAATTATTGTACATGTTAAATTTAAAATTGACAAAAATATTTTTCAAATAACAACTTAAAATAATTTTATCACACTAATAACCCAAATACATATAGATTAAAATAAGGCACCTACTAAAGTGCCCTTCGTCCTAACTTTTGGTCCTAACTTTTGGTCCTAACTTTTGGTTTTAACTTTTGGTCCTAACTTTTTGTACTGAATTTTTGAACTCAAAACAAAATTACTCGAAATAAAATTACTCGAAACACATTTACTCAAAACACATTTACTCAAAACACATTTATTAAAATGATATTTACTCGTAAGACATTTTTTAAAATGACATTTAATTGACTAACGTTTATTTGAATAGTATTTACTATTTAACATACAATTACTCGATCGACATTCACTCAAAACACTCGACTGACATTTACTCAAAACACATGTATTCATATAAAATTTATTAAGAATACATTAAAATATAGATGATTATATTTAAAAAAGTTAAAATTGTCTTTTCAGTAAATATCTGTTGATTAAATTTTATTTAAGTGTGTTTCGAGTAAATGTTTTGCGAGTAAATGTGTTTTGAGTAAATGTGTTTCGAGTAAATGTGTTTCGAGTACCTGTGTTTCGAGTAACTTTGTTTCGAGTTCAAAAATTCAAGACCAAAATTCAGGACCAAAAGTTAAGACCAAAAGTTAGGACCAAAAGTTAGGACTAAAAGTTAGGACGAAGGGCACTTTAGTAGATGCCTTAAAATAATAGTTATTATAATAACCAGATATTATTAATTAATACGGTTTATAACTAATGTTTTATTACAAAATATAATCAAAATATATTTAATTGTATACAATTTTACTAAATTAATGTAAGATGTAAAACTAAAATTAACCATTACTGCAACCAGGGAGCTTTGGGTGGAAACACCGGCCAACTTATAAACTCCGATGATTTCATGTATGCCTTAATTGGGGGCAAACTCTCAAAACGGACCATAAATTGACACAAATTCTGGTACTCATCGACAGTACCTGTGCTGAACAGTCGTAACCAATCCAACACTTCATACGCCAAGAAGTCTACATAATTAATACAATTACCGGTAAACCACTGCCGGGCGCCCAAAAACCGGGACAACCGGTCCAACTGCGGGGATCGACCGGCGATTATATGCTGAGCTATTACGGTATCATAACCATGGTTTACCCCATTGTTAACTATAATACCCATTCGGATGTCCAACAACTGTTGCTCCAACAGATCCTGGCGTCCGAGTCCGGTCTCGTCGGTGGCCATCAGGCCGTGTTTGCGGGCCAAATGTCGCATTATAGCAGTGCTCTGGGTCAGTTTTAACGGGCCATCTATATAGTAAGGTAGATCGGGAAATTCTAGACCTAAGATAGTCTTATCAGCCAACCAATCGGCTGGATTATCATCTAGATTTTTGTCGCCAAAGTTGCCGTAGTATTTGTCAATGAATTTCACGCCCTTATAGGCCAACAATAGCCGTATGGGTTGAGCCAAACCCCGCGTTTTATAATACCCTATTGTGGGCACTGATGTGTCGGACATTTTATTTATTTGAATATTATGTATGACTGAATTAAAACATATTTATTGTGTTATTATATATTTTTTACTAATCGTTTAATTAATGTTTTTACTATTAAATCACAATAGATTTATACCCAGAATGTATGGCCAACATGTTTACACTGTTAAAACATGTGTTAGTCTATGGTCTAGGTAACCAATTCCGCCATCTTTCTTACCTTGAGTAGAGTGCTATAAAGTTTTATTATACATTAGTAATATACATTAATGTTTTAATTAAATTACTAATCTATAGTAAAACTTTGTAGCACTCTACTCAAGGTAAGAAAGATGGCGGAATTGGTTACCTAGAGTCTATGGGAACAGTATAAGTAATTTTAAATGTTAGTGACAGTGATTAATTACAATTAATCCAGCATGCCACTGTTTTTAATAGTAAAAACATTAACATAACGCATAAACAAGAATTATTATAAATTTCATTACTTTTGCGATTTTATACAAATATTCAAAATCTATATAATGTCCGACACATCAGTGCCCACAATAGGCTATTATAGGATCCGGGGTTTGGCTCAACCCATACGGCTATTGCTGACTTATAAGGGCGTGAAATTTATCGACAAATTCTACGGTAAGTCTGGGGCCAAAACCTTTGACGAATTTACCGGTGTATGGTTTGCCGAAAAAACTATCCTGGGCCTAGACTTTCCCGGCATACCCTACTATATGAAGGGCACATTTAAACTGACTCAGAGCACGGCAATCATGCGCTACTTGGGCCGCAAACACGGCTTGATAGCCACCGACGAGACCGGACTCGTACGCCAGGACCTGTTGGAGCAACAGTTGACCGACATATGGATGTCATTCACGTACGGCCTGTTGTTTAATAAAGACTACGAGACGTTAAAAGT